ATCAAAAAAATCAAACAGTTCAAAAAAGGTTTGTTTGAGAGCAATTGAGTTTGATTCAAAGTAACAACTACTCACATGTACTGAATTGAGAAATATATTAAAACTGAGGAAAACCACCCAAGACAAAGGTTCATTTCATTTTTCTATTTTTAGCCTCCTTGTCTCCTCCATCCCTGCTTTCCAGGTCCTGCCTGTGACCTGGAAATCAATCTTAGAGTGCAGTAATGAAGGCTGTCTCAAATCCTAAAATGTAGCCATTTAACATTTGTTGCAACTGAATAATTATGATTAAAGAAAAGCTTTCCGTTTTTTTGCGTAATTATCTATGACATTTAAGATGACTGAAAGCTCTACAACAGTATTTTTTTCCCCTATATTTAATCTGTATGTATTTAGTATTTCTAATATCCCTGTCTAGACTGCAGTTACAATGATTTATAGATGGCGTTTAGAAATAAAATAAAGAAATTATCTTCTTTACAGTTATCCAATGGGCTATAATCTTAATATATATATAAAAACATCCTTAATGAATGAAATCCAGTGTTATTGAGACATTAATAACAGTTCAGTCATAACGTAGACATTGCAATCACTTTTTGAAAGCAGAAAAACTGCATTATGAGTTGAATAAGTCATATAAAGCTGTATCTACCGGTAAAAACAACTGCATTGGTTATAATCTCAAAACAGACCAGGCAAACAAATTGCAAGACAAGATGATAATTGCTGCTGTGGACAGCAAACAGTTAGTTGTTGTTGTTTTTTTGTTGGCATACTATTACTTTTTGGCACACCTGTTAAGTAGAATAAGTAACAGAAAAGGGAAATACAAGTACCTCAAACAGGACTTTAGTGCAACCAGACCCCGTGTTAAAGCACAGTCCACCACAGGTAAAGCAGCGTAAGCGTTATTTCAAATAGCACGAGTTAAAACTAGTCAGCAGGTGTTAACAGGGCAGTTTCTACACATTACTGGGATCGTTTTCAGCAGGTTAACACTAGAACAAATGTGTGCGGGTGAAATGATCTCACCTCGTCTGACTGAGCTTCTTATCGGTTAAACGCAGCAGCACCAACATCCAGATTCTAACGGTTCTACTGAAAGCTCGGTGTCGGGTTTTCAGCGTCTCACTTGTTAAATAACGTTACCGTCACTTTTCAAACTGTTTATTAAAACTCTGTGGACGACTTTACACGAATTTTCAACGGCTGTAGCATTTAAGTCACTGTGTAATCGTAAATTACGTCTTATTCGTCTGTTTCATCCCTGCGTTAAATGCGTCCCGGCTTCTGTTTACAACAGACTTCATCCAGCCGGGACGAGACTTCTGGTCACGTGTGTATTCTAGTCCAATCAGAGAGCGCCTCTAGTCCCAAACAAACTACGCAGCGCCCTCTGCAGGCCAGTAGCAGGCAGTGTTCAGAGACAAACCGGCGTCCACTGCACTTCGTTCTCGTCTTTTATGACCGCAATTATCTAATCTACAGTCATAATGAATGGAAGATTAGCTGTCATTTTACTGAGCTGACAGTAAGCCGGTATGTTTATTCTATTATTCCTGTGTACTGGGCCAGTGTCTACACTTTTTAGTTTGACAGGTACTACTGGGAAGTTTGATCATGTCAGACCTGTAATTACACCCTAAAAACACAGATGAAAACAGATATATGGCTTTACTATCAACCATTAAATCAGTCCAGTTTTTCTGTCGTCACATCTGTGTTCCAAAAGACACCAAACCAATGATTTGTCAGATTACTGCTTTTAATATTTCATATTGTACGTCTGTATATACTGAACAAAAACAAAATCACAGCATGTAATGTTTTATATATTATTTCTATTACAAATACGAAACCAGGGGATTGCCTCCTCCGACACGCTAGACAACAACAAGTAGTAAAATCATAGAAAAAAAGTATTAATTTACATGTTGACTGTGAAAAGAAAAAACAATACAAAGTCCATATCATAAATCTTTTTTTGTTTCTTTGTTTGTTTTCCCCCACAAAACAGTAATGCGTTCTTTTAGAATGTATGACCATAAAATGTACACAATTTTCCTATATTTTATATCAGCTAAAGCTATCGTAATTTTGCAGACATTTACTGTTATTTCCGTTATTTTTACTGTTTTGCCGTTTTTGAACGTTACAGTATTGAATTAATTTTTTGGAGGGTTTTTTTTTGTAGTTGCTGTTGTTTGTTTGTTTTACAGATTTTTATGATTGTTGTTATTATTTTTAAGTGTGCATACGTCTGTATTTTAGAAACACGTTATGGATGTTACGTTATCAAATGCTGCATTCACTTTCCCTCGGACATTGCTGTTTCATTTCCTGAACTTTAGACATTGGCGTTTCATTAAATTATATTGACCTATCAGATCTCAGCTGGTCACAGGCGTGACCAATGACATTTCAGAGATGGCAAGAACCTCCACCTCACACCGCACAAGCAAGCGAGTGATTATACACGTTCAGACCGTTTCTTTTTTGCTTCCGGAGACATACAGTGTGTGTCATACAGTGTACTGCACATTGAGGAGAAGACAGCCATGGAGAGCAAGAAGAGAAGGGTAGGGACACGAAAACATACGACTTTAAGGATCATTATTACTTTATGATCTTTTTACAAAAACTTTACAAATATTAATATTATGTTTTTATTGTGTGTACCGTGTTTGACTTTCTATTTCAAACGTATCCCCATTCTCACAACTTTGGGGGTTGTTTTTGTATGTCCTGGATTTCTACATATAATATATAATCCACTCTTTTTTACAATTTGAAATACCAGATTGC